TAAGAAAAACATGTTGTGACAAACAATGACAGATGTCTATCTAGAACCACGATGCTTGAAAGTGATAGCTTCAAAATGCTACGAATGTTGTTTCAGATAGATCATAAGAAAAGCGTGTTGTGACAAACAATGACAGATGTCTATCTAGATTCTAGCGCTAAATAGATAAGTAAACAAAAAGCTTTAAAGAAGATAGTTTGCGACTATATAAAACTTAAAAATAAATAGATTGGTAGATAGACAAATAAACTTAAACTTAAACTTAAACTTCTCTGGACTGTGCTAAGATAAAACTAAGTAAGTGGTAAAGTATACAATTATCTCAAGTTTCTCAGACTCGTTTCAACTTTCCTTTTGTTTCTTTTTTTCAACTTAAGATTACTTTGCTGTTGTTTCTTCTCTAAACCGTACACTTACGTTTCACGTTTTAGATTTTCGAATTGATTTACATGGAAAGTTAAATGACTCAAAGTAGAATTGAGAACTTCGATGAACTGCACTGCCCGTTGAAAGAAAAGGAGTTTCGGTTTCTATAACGAGACTGAAACGTCGTCCCCTTTTCTTCCAACGGGCAGTTGCAGTCCATTAAAGTTTTCAAACCTATTATGTCTACCCTGCTTAAACATCTATTAAATGACTTGAAGTTTAAACACCTCCGGCCGACTTTCTTCCGGATTTCTGTATCTAAGGGCCTGCTGTAATTTTCATTGACTTTTCCTCAAATTTCTATATCTAAAGACCTGCAGTACTTTCCAAAATGACTTTCCCCCAGGTTTATATGTTCAATATCTGCAGTTGTTTTCAAGTTGACTTTTCTTCAAGTTTCCGTATTTAAGATTTGCAGTTGTTTTTAGGATCGTTTCTTGTTGGCTTTTTGGGATTCGATCCTGGGTCTTCTTGTTAGCAAAAGGCTGGTATGATGTCTCCTTTTCTGATTCATATTAATAAAGAAACAGGTCTTCTCGGGATTTCTTTGTGTTGAAGACGGCAGAAGATCAGCAGCTGACATGTAGAATATACAGTGATTAGTAATTAGAGAAAACATTAGTTAATATTTGATAATTAGAATTGGGTGGTCGTATAAACTATTAACTGTAAGATTAAGAGATTCAACCGAAAGTTATGCTGCCAAAGTACTGACTGTATAAAACTGAACATTAAATGTAACTTTTATGTCTCAAACATATATATATATATATGTATAGCCTTTATTTGTTTTTGTCCAGCAAGCAAAGAAGCCGCCTTCGTTCACGCCATCTCAGCCGCCGGTGTGGTTCATGCTGTAGCTCGTGGGTGTCGAGACGGTCAACTAACTAGTTGCGGGTGTAGCCGAGCTGCCCGACCGGAGGATCTCCAAAACGACTGGAGATGGGGAGGCTGTGGGGATAACGTCGAGTATGGTTATCGTTTCACAATGGGTTTTGTCGACCTCCGAGAGCGAGAGTATAACTTCAGAAGGGGCACCATGGAGCAGGGACGCAAGCTCATGAATATCCATAACAACGAAGCTGGCAGAAGAGTAAGTCTTTCGTGCTTGATTTGGTTTCTATTTTCCTTCAACAAACACCAGACCAAATGGGTAAATACCAAGAACAGGCATGGTCAATATAGCAATCCCTACTTGTCTCTGGTACAGTGATGTCCAGAACTAAACTAAAACATTCTAGAATTAAACTAATTAATGGAACTAATTAAATTAATGGAAACATTAATAAGCTGCTGGTTCTTCAATTTTACACTAGATTAAAAAATAAAAACATTTTATATCATTAGTGGTGAAAAACAAATATAAGGGTTAAGCAAAACTTCAAAGTTGACGAAGGTGAAATACGAGTTAAGTTATCCAACACTTTAAATTGCCGACACTATTAAATTTTTTGTGGTTAACAATCGTAAATTTGTCATTGAAGAACAGTAAGATACGTGTTGATAGGACCCTGGTGTTGATTTGTGATAACAGGCGTAGTCTTTGTCAATGAGTTCTTTTGTGTGGGGGTGTTTCTTTTTCTTCTTCTTCTTTTTTTACATCTCTTTTCATTCCAAATATTTTTTTGCTGTAATTTGTACAATTCAAGACGGAAATTTTCAAGATCATATGTAATAATTTTCCTAGTCTTAAAACAGAGAATTTAGTTGGTCCTCAGGCCTTATAGGTAAAAACCTGAAATATGGTTTCTGTAAACTTATTTTTTATGACACTATAAAGTACGCAATTCCTCTTCTCATCACAAAAATAAAACACTATCAAAAATATCGTTAAGAAAATGAATAATGGAAAAGTAAATGTATTTCTACTACTGTCGTAAAAGTGTAATAGTTAATTAAGAAGCGCAAGAAAACATAGCAACTATTTTTACTGTTACTTTCATGATATCTTTCAAACCTTTTCATCCTTACACTATTGTCGCTATAAATAAGCCTAACTTATATCTTTCAGATATTTTCGTTATGTATATTATAGCATAGCTACGTGCACAATAAGGCTAATATATGATATCTTTCAAATCCTTTCGTTCTTAAGCTAGTGTAACTCCAAATAAGACCAATACACGATATATTTCAAATCCTTTCGTTTTTAAGCTAGTGTAACTCCAAATAAGACCAATACACGATATATTTCAAATCCTTTCGTTTTTATGCTAGTGTAACTCCAAATAAGACCAATACACGATATATTTCAAATCCTTTCGTTTTTAAGCTAGTGTAACTCCAAATAAGACCAATACACGATATACTTCAGATCTTTTCATTCTTACACTAGTGTAGCTATGAATAAGGCTAACCTAATATATGATATATTCTAAATCTTTTCGTTGTTACACTGGTGTAGCTATGAATAAGGCTAACCTAATATATGATATATTCTAAATCTTTTCGTTGTTACACTAGTGTAGCTACGAATAAGGCTACCCTTATATATAATATATTCTAAATTTTTTCGTTGTTACACTAGTGTAGCTATGAATAAGGCTAACCTAATATATGATATATTCTAAATCTTTTCGTTGTTACACTAGTGTAGCTACGAATAAGGCTACCCTAATATATGATATATTCTAAATCTTTTCGTTGTTACACTAGTGTAGTTACGAATAAGGCTACCCTCATATATATGATATATTCTAAATATTTTCGTTGTTACACTAGTGTAGTTACGAATAAGGCTAACCTAATATATGATATATTCTAAATCTTTTCGTTGTTACACTAGTGTAGCTATGAATAAGGCTAACCTAATATATGATATATTCTAAATCTTTTCGTTGTTACAATATAGTGTGTCTACTAATAAAGTTAAAGTATGATTTATGATATCCTTCAAATTTTTCCATTCTTACTTTAGTTTGATAGTATTTAAGATATAGCTTTAGTGGCCTTCCTTTGTTACTTCTGAGAAAATAGCTTTGTGTTGATGCTCTTAAAAGTTTAAAGTGTTTATACAAGCAAATGATAGACTCACGCTACGTTCCTTCCATAAATAAAACGTAATTTCAAGTCTTATTAATCTAAGTCTTTACCAAACATTCTTAGTCTAATGACTGGCCAGTTGATGCTAATGGTTCTGTTTAATAGAAACAACGACTTATATTAATCCTACCAAAACTGTTAGAAGATGTGACATGAACATTAAAATTGGAATGTTTCATACATTCTCAGATATCTTTGCTAAAACAGAACAGACAAAAACACCAAAAATTAAGCTGATATATTTGGTAAAACTGTCACACTATCATTTAAATTAATTTTTAAAACAACAATTCTTTGAAAACGTCAGTCGAAAATGTATAAAAATTATAATAAGCACGTTAAATTCTTATGAATTAAGGGATACTTTTAAATATCTCCTTATAATTAAAACTTATCTGTTCATATAATATTGTTCTATGTCAGGTCTTTGAGATTCATTTTTCCAGAACAACTAATCTTGTTATGTTTACAAAACACTTATAAAATTTTGAATTCACTTTGGAAATTGCCTGTACTTGCTTACTATTTTGCACAAAGCTACACAAATATAGGTACCCCTAATTTTGAAGCGATAGACTGGAAGAAAGGCAGCTAGTCACAAAACCTCACCATCAACTCCTCGGTTGCTCTTCTCTGAATGAATAGTGGGATTTGACTTTCACTCTTATAACGCACTCACGGCCACAAACTGCATGGCGGGCTTTTGCAACAACAGGAAGCGAATCATGAACACTCACTCGGATTAACAGCCCGGAATCATAAGTCCTGGGCCATGCCCGACCAATATTTGGCTGCAATTATCTTTTAGTAACCAGACGTTGTATAGGTAGTATTTTTCAATCACTCTGTGTGTTGTCAGCTATTAGCTATTTTAAAAGATACTTAAAGTAGTAAAGAAACTTTACGTCTGTTGTTGTTGTTAAGCGTAAAGCTGAAAAGCTTGAACTTGTGAATAAAATATAATAAACGTGAAATCCCAAAGAATAGAATTAATTATAAGATGTATTAATCATAATACAGCCCTTTGAATCTATGACTGGTATTAGCGAAACTCTGTCGGAACAACAACAATAAAATATTATGAATCACGATCCGCATCACATGCAACACAGTCCGGATATGATACTTTAATGAATCAAATTTTGAAGAACTTTTGCTTGTAGCATTAAATACTGTTTCTCTTCGTGAAATCGTGAGCTTTTCTTTTTACTTTTTACAGCACGCTGAGAAATTATAAAGCGTTACAAAATGCCGTACAAAATATATACAACGTGTTAGATTTATGTAACCAAATAAGAACCACATTATTAAAAAAAAATAGCAACCTTCATTAGTAATTATAGTGCTGGACTAAGATTCTACCAGCACCAGGTTCTTTGTAATGTTTTATCTACTGATGTAAGCATGATAGTGTGGTTAAGCTCGTTGGAAACGTGCAGTGTGATGATTTTCGAAAGTTAACAAACTTCACAGTTTAAACAAAAATAAAATAAATGGTAAAATGTATGGATGGTATTTATAAGAAATCATGATTTCGTGAGTAAATCTCGCGTTCAAATATTTCTTTAATATTCTGAGTAAACACGTTTTGTATCTTGTTTTTTTACTGATTTTCGTAGTGAACAAAAGTCTGATACTTGTTGGTTGCTGCTCTCAAAGTGGCCCGGCATGGCCAGGTGGCTAGGGCGCTCTGTGGGTCGCGGGTTCGAATCCCGGTCACACCGAACATGCTCGCCCTTTCAGCCGTGGGGGCGTTATAATGAGACGGTAAATCCCACTATTCGTTGGTAAAAGAGTAACCCAAGAGTTGGCGGTGGGTGGTGATGACTAGCTGCCTTCTCTCTAGTCTTACACTGCTAAATTAGAGATGGCTAGCGCAGATAGCCCTCGTGTAGCTTTGCGTGAAATTCAAAAACAAACAAACAAACTCTCAAAGATTATTTAGTTCTCATAATTTTCTACCTCACCGTATAGGAAGAACGAGATGGTTTTGTAAAATAAACAAAGATAATAACATCTCGTTAACTTAATGACTAAAAAAAAAATATATATACAACTCAAAATTATCGAAAGTTTTTTTCTGTAAATGCTGGTACAACTTTGATCTATTTGTGTTTATAGTTTCATATAGTATAAACAAAGATATAAGTAATTTCATCTTACAAATGTACGTTAAAAAATATATGTCGGGTTTTCTGAAGTTTTATTTTTACGTAGTTGCTATCTGTACTATACAGATTTGTACTTGTGAGCACGCGTGAGGTGACAAGTGACTTACAGTTGAAGGTCACGAGGATTCTTTATTTTTTTCGGTCTTTTGAGCGTGCTCATGTTAAACAGTGGCGCCTTCTGTTACTTTATACACATAACAAAGGTTTGTTCTTTCCATGAACACTTAAGATGCTTTGAAATTTTTCGGACAGTTACTTGCTCCAGTTCTTCCACATTCGGAGGGTGGGGTTTGCTTTGCATGCAACCAGCGGACATAGAAAACCAAATATCGTTTCATTAAGAAGACGGTGATATAGATAAGTGTAAAGAAGTTTCACATGACGAGAAATTAATGAAGTTTCACATGACGAGAAATTAATGACTTTTTTCGAACAGGATGAAACATTGAAGTTCTAGTAAAGTACACGTTACCCTAACGAGAAGGATCTAGGGATGGCGTATCGATCATAAATTCTGATTTCTGCGATTCTTCAACATCTAATACAAAATACATCATTCATTAGAGGAGCCTTAATATGACGTTTCTTCATGAAGTTAGAAAAACACGTAGGTCCAAGAAGTCTTGATAGAAATGAATAAAAACCCTATAACCCGGGCGCAAACTGTTTGCTTCTGAAGAAGAAAGGTCCACCTTTCGTAAGCGCTCGGGTTATAGGGGTTTTATTCATTTCTAATACGAAGTTTCGGTAACTTTCGTGACAAGTGCACGTCTCAAGCACTTGAAGTGACTCAAATGTTGTTTTTCGAGCTATTCCTAAGACAAAATTGTCCATTATAACGTTGATACATCGACGAATAGAAAACTGACTAAGGTAATAC